TTACTAACTGTAGTTTCATACACGTTAACAATTACCCACCTCGGCTTTACTTACTGTAGTTTCATACACGTTTACAATTACCCACCTCAGCGTAACTAACTGTAGTTTCATACGAGTTAACAATTACCCACCTCGGCTTTACTAACTGTAGTTTCAGACACGTTTACAATTACCCACCTCGGCTTTACTAACTGTAGTTTCAGACACGTTTACAATTACCAACCTCGGCGTTATTAACTGTAGTTTCAGACACGCTAACTGTAGTTTCATACACATTTACATTTACCCATCTCATGACCAACTATACACTATTTCTAATTGCGGGCACATCGACAGCTCTGCGCTTCCATTGTGTATCTGATTACATCAACGTGTGCACATACATTTAATATGCAATGAATGATGCTGCTTGGTGGCTATGAAAAAAAGTTAGATGATGTTTCCTACATTCATATATTGCCGCTGCCATCCTTGATTGGGGAACTGCAGTTCCCTACTGTATGTTCTGCACGGTGATATACGACCCCTGGCGATAATAGGACAAACTGAGCCGTGCCCTATTACTGTCTGTACATTGTGCAGCACAGGTAATCTTATATGGCCGACATTCCCTCGCCGTACAGAAAAGTATAATACAGCACCCATCTTACATTTTTGACATACTCTAGGTAGAATGAAGCAATGGAATTAGTTATGCACTGTATATTTTGAATTTTAACACTGAAAGAATTCGTCAAGGGATATGGTTTTAATATACCTTTTTGATTACTATCTTCTTTCGGGAGCGAGCGAACCGTTGCAAAAAACAAATTAAACGTTATATCTACTACTGCACGAGACGAATATTGAAATGTCTAACAAAGACCAGGAAGTGAATATAAAGTGCATTACGATATTGAGTTATGTAACCTGTGATATTGATCTCGGTGTCCAGTCTTCATTCTAAATAAAGAATTGTGATGTTATGGACGTTACATCCCTAGGAACCCTGTGTATACCATTCAGTTGACTAAAAGGTCCCCGGGTAGCACCTTGTCCCAGTGGTCATCAGTTGTCTGTGATGACCCGAGGGCACCTGTCAAATGTCTAACCGATACCCTGTCAACACCGTTATCTCAGCGCTAGGTCAATATTAGTGTACAGTCCCCTTATTACTTAAAACAAGAGTACCGAGCTACGCTGTTATATTTCAATCATGTAATCTTTCCGTATATTGCTGGACCACACAACTCTACCTAGCTACGTTTACTTATGCTCTATCGCTATTACTACATGTCATACACAGTACTACATATCATATACAGTACTACATATCATATACAGTACTACATATCATATACAGTACTACATATCATATACAGTACTACATATCATATACAGTACTACATATCATATACAGTACTACATATCATATACAGTACTACATATCATATACAGTACTACATATCATATACAGTACTACATATCATATACAGTACTACATATCATATACAGTACTACATATCATATACAGTACTACATATCATATACAGTACTACATATCATATACAGTACTACATATCATATACAGTACTACATATCATATACAGTACTACATATCATATACAGTACTACATATCATATATAGTACTACATATCATACACAGTACTACATATCATACACAATACTACATATCATACACAGTACTACATATCATACACAGTACTACATATCATACACATCAGAGTAAAGAAAACACATTGAAGAACAGACCTTAATAAAGTACTAGTGCCAAACAAACCCAAACGACATTTCCATCATATACAGATTGCACCTTTTACTACAAAGAAATAATTGATAAAAACAAAACAGTGTACGCAAATAATTTGTGTTTGACCAAATTTCTTACCCGCAAGTACAGTAGATGATGATGGCGATGAGGACGAGGAGGACGATGAGACCAGCGATGGAGCCGCCGATAATGGCGATGAGTTCCTGTGTGTTTACCATGATTGACTATTGCACCTGAAAAGAGACGAATTGAGATATTAGATTAAAGGGAAATATCACTGTATTTTTACATAATGTATTCGTTCAATTTGAAAAGCTATATACACTGTATAGCAGTTCACTTAATGTAACAACAATGAACGCGAGTTTGTTGATTTGGATATCAGTCAGCCATGCGTATATACATTGGCGTCTGGTCAGACACTTCCTGTTACCACCATGAATTTTTGACGTTAAAGTCAGTTTTCTTCTCGTAAATCTCAGCAACTGTAAGACGGTATACAGCCCCTAAATGTCGCTATATACCCACATACTCTTTGACATTGGTTATTTCAAGAACATTTGTCGCGGACATTTTCTTAAGCACTTAACATACATGTACGTATATGCAAAAGCACTCAGTTTTAATAATGTTTATTTACAGAATGTATAATTTCAGCGTTTTCAAATAAAACCTTTTCTGCAAAGCGTGCTTTATAAAGGTTAATTTGAAAATAATTAAACAATGTACATGAATGAATACACCCAAATGATTCATAAAGAAACAGTGTTGATAGCTTCATACCAACCTTTTACATATGTAAATCATGAGGTTCCTGCATCTTTATACATACTAATATAGATGTGTATACCAACACCAGATGTCGCAATCGTGATCACAACAACGTTTGTTTCCAGGAAGAACTGGTATATTTCAGCCTCATCGACTAGTTCAACAGCTGCTGTAGTTAACCACCCGACCAATCAAATCGAACTTTACGCAACACAATGACTCAGCTAGAAACGAATATGCTCAGACAGAGTCTATATCAATTGACCGAGCGCCTTGCAAATTGCTGATCTGTCGGATGATTTGGCAAATGTGAAAGTTAATTAAATATGTTGGTAGTAGATTGTGAAAACATTGATTTGACTATTGGTATTGTTGTTAGTTTTCTCTATCGAATAGAAAATCCTTTGTCGTACTGTTGCGAACCGAGTTTGTCACCAAACCATAGTCAATCCATATACCTACGTGTACATATTGTATCTCTTTAGAAGTATATATATATATATAACTTTACCGGGACAAATTATGAGTATTTCGTTCTTTAAGACACCTGTACACCGGTACTGACAAACAGACAGCTATATTTATATTCCTGGTCTCTGACAAGGGTGACGTTATTGATAGAAAACGTTCAACTGTCAACACGTTATTAATAGCAGACAGGATACTTTATAAACTTATTTCCGCGCACATGAGGCAACAAAGTAAACACATAGCGGCAAACAATAAGTTACCAAAAAGGCAGACAAATGGAGATAAAATGTGTAGTCAATATAATAACTTATTTGTGAGCTAACTTTTATAAGTTATTTTGACAGCGAGTTACATTTATACTGTCCTCATTTTATAATCTACCTGAGCTATATTCAGGCGTGATACGAGGCTGCTGATGATGTTAACATAGCATGTAATGTATTGATCTTCAACTACTATAATGGCAGTGACTTCTGTCGTCCGTACCTGTATGTAACGAGTGCCTGCGAGGAGCAACACATGTAAGTATATCACACAAACCTCATCACGTGTTTGTATACACTTGTATTAGGATAAAGATGATCGGTTTGTCACGTTGACATGTAACAACAGTGTATTGTACCTCTGTCTCGACACGTGTTTGTATACATTTTACTAGACAAACCGGATTGTGTTTAAGTAGATAAACGACAACACACCAGACAGTTTGATGTGTCCTCAGTCTCAACACGTCTACTCCTCACCAGTTCTAATTGTTAAAAACATCGCACTAACAATGTTATATGAAAATGTTTCATCTTTTATTGCAAAGTTATGCTTTGATATTATTAAAAATGCATCTACAAAGGTTTATTTTAACATCTTATTTACAGAGATATACTTCATTTACAAAGTCATAAAGAACACATTCCATGTACAGTGTTAGTTCGTGGCTGTTTTAAATTATGTAACAACATCTTTTATATTCTTTACTTATAGAAAGGATCAGACACAGACATACCTATTAAGTCTTCTCCGTGTCTTAACTACAACATATACAATGTTTACACATTCAAAATAGTTAGATGGTAACTTACTGTAAACAGATAAATAAAATATTGATTCTTATCATTATGCTTGCCAGATACTCTATATAATGTGTAAGTTTAGAAATAACATTTCATGATGTCCCAGACAAAAACTGTGCAAACAGTTAGATCTGGCAATGAAATATATTTTATAAGATCACTGTCTCCTGATCCACACAACACCTCATAACAGAGATTTAAACCCAGCAATTGTATTTTTAAATGTCGCACGGAAATAACAACATACACTGCGAATGCCAATTCTTGTATTAATAATATTATAGACATTAGATAGAATACACGTGTTTTAATTAGATGATGACTTGGTAATGGCAAAGGTTAGCAAATTAATATTACTATAACAACTATAGTTAAACATTAATTTGATACCTAGGTCCACAGTACTTATAGCAGAATTAATATTACTATAACAACTATAGTTAAACATTAATTTGATACCTAGGTCCACAGTAATTATAGCAGAATTAATGTTCCTATAACAACTATAGTTAAACATTAATTTGATACCTAGGTCCACAGTAATTATAGCAGAATTAATGTTACTATAACAACTATAGTTAAACATTAATTAGATACATAGGTCCACAGTAATTATAGCAGAATTAATGTTCTATAACAACTATAGTTAAACATTAATTAGATACCAAGGTCCACGGTAATTATAGCAGAATTAATGTTCATGTTCACGAGGAGACAGATAGGAGTAACTGGTGCTCGGTTAAATGATCATTATTATTTATCATCATTAAAATCCATTGAGGATTTCTTTTAAACACAAGATTATTAAAGCTGCAGGTTCTGGCTTGTGGAATATTAACGACAATATAGTTGAGAAATTGAACATTTTGATGTTTATTGATGAACTGTTCAATAATATGGTTGAACATATTATTTCATACATTTATATCACATCAAACTCGATCGGTTACTTTGTTTATCCCTAATATCATGTTCTATCTTTCTCTCTAAACAGTTCCTTATGTACAGATTCAGGCTATCGCTGCAAAGTAACCCATGCATATTCAGTTAAGCTTGTTATATACATATTCAGGCTATCGCTGCAAAGTTACCCATGCATATTCAGTTAAGCTTGTTATATACATATTCAGGCTATCACTGCAAAGTTACCCATGTACTATCAGCTAATCTTGTTATATGCATATTCAGGCTATCACTGCAAAGTTCCCCATGTATTATCAGCTTATCTTGTTATATTCATATTCAGGCTATCACTGCAAAGTAACCCATGCATTATCAGCTAAGCTTGTTATGTACATATTCAGACTATCACTGCAAAGTTACCCATGTATTATCAGCTAAGCTTGTTATGTACATATTCAGGCAATCACTGGAAAGTTACCCATGTATTATCAGCTAATCTTGATATGTACATATTCAGGCTATCACCGCAAAGTTACCCATGTTTTATCAGCATAGCTTGTTATGTACATATTCAGGCTGTCACTGCAAAGTTACCCATGTATTATAAGCTAAGCTTGATATGTACATATTCCGGCTATCACTGCAAAGTTACCCATGTCTTATCAGCTAAGCTTGTTATGTACAAATTCAGGCTATCACTGCAAAGTTACCTATGTTTTATCAGCTAAGCTTGTTATATACATATTCAGGCTATCACTGCAAAATTATCCATGTTTTATCAGCCAAGCTTGTTATGTACATATTCAGGCTATCACCGCAAAGTTACCCATGTTTTATCAGCATAGCTTGTTATGTACATATTCAGGCTATTACTGCAAAGTTACCCATGTTTTATCAGCATAGCTTGTTATGTACATATTCAGGCTTTCACTTCAAAGTTACCCATGTTTTATCAGCTAGGCTTGTTATGTACATATTCAGGCTATCACCGCAAAGTTACCCATGTTTTATCAGCATAGCTTGTTATGTACATATTCAGGCTATTACTGCAAAGTTACCCATGTTTTATCAGCTAGGCTTGTTATGTACATATTCAGGCTATCCCTGCAAAGTTACCCATGTTTTATCACCTAAGCTTGTAATGTACATATTCAGGCTATCACTGCAAAATTACCCATTTTTTATCAGCCAAGCTTGTTATGTAAATATTCAGGCTATCACTGCAAAGTTCCCCATGTTTTATCAGCCAAGCTTGTTATGCACATATTCAGGCTATCACTGCAAAGGTACCCATGTTTTATCAGCCAAGCTTGTTATTTACATATTCAGGCAATCACTGCAAATTTACCCATGTATTATCAGCTAAGCTTGTTGTGTACATATTCAGGCTATCACTGCAAAATTATCCATGTTTTATCAGCCAAGCTTGTTATGTACGTATTCAGGCTATCACTGCAAAGTTATACATGTTAATCAGCTAAGCTTATTTTGTACATATTCAGGCTATCACTGCAAAATTATCCATGTTTTATCAGCCAAGCTTGTTATTTACATATTCAGGCTATCACTGCAAAGGTACCCATGTTTTATCAGCCAAGCTTGTTATATACATATTCAGGCTATCACTGCAAAATTGCCCATGTTTTATCAGCCAAGCTTGTTATTTACATATTCAGGCTATCACTGCAAAATTATCCATGTTTTATCAGCCAAGCTTGTTATTTACATATTCAGGCTATCACTGCAAAGTAACCCATGCATATTCAGTTAAGCTTGTTATATACATATTCAGGCTATCACTGCAAAATTATCCATGTTTTATCAGCCAAGCTTGTTATTTACATATTCAGGCTATCACTGCAAAATTATCCATGTTTTATCAGCCAAGCTTGTTATATACATATTCAGGCTATCACTGCAAAATTACCCATTTTTTATCAGCCAAGCTTGTTATGTACATATTCAGGCAATCACTGGAAAGTTACCCATGTATTATCAGCTAATCTTGATATGTACATATT